GCGCTCAAGCTGTCGTTCGACAAGAAGCGGCCTCCGCGGAGGCCCAGCTCCAGGCGATCGCGGAGGAGAACAATGCCACATGTGCCTCCTATGAGCTGTCGATAAACTATCCGGTGGCTCGATGGGACGACAACAGCGGCGACACCATTTCCATCGTGGACCTCACGTCCACCGGCGACAGACAGGCCGTGGACTCCTTCGAGGATGAGTAGGGCACGGGAGGCGGCAGGGCCTCGTGTGTCCCAAGTTGGCCAGACCTTCTTCTGTGCTCTACTCTTTCTCGCCAGAGACCGCACCTTCACTTCATGGGTCTTATCACCAGCGTTCATGGAGATAGCGGATGGAGGAGGCGGTCCCAGGAAGGGAACAACAAGGAGCTTGGACATTGGCGGCCGCCGTAGTTTTTTTTGTTCTAAATGTTTGAAAAATGTAATGAAAACCCGCCGTGTCTGCATGCATGCCGCCCATTTATGTAAATTATGTTCTAAATTTGAATGAAATCCGGCCATGTTTGCATGATTTTCGTCTGGTTAGTTAGGATGGTAGTTAAAATGTATGCGGACAATGTTGGATGGTGGCCTCCCGCATCCGTGTCCGCGGACTGGTTTCCCCTGCCTGCGGGAGGAAATTTGCGGGTCGTTGTTGGAGATACCCTAATGCCATGCCTCAAATGTTCGTGGAGTGTCCAGGCGTCCGAAATCCCAGAAACCGATTGTAACACTGAGGGAGATTTGTGAGTGTTGAGACCCCCGCTATGTAGACGTCTGATAATCCAAACTCAGCCAAAACCAAGGCAGAGCCCACGCATTCTGACCATGCCATGCTATTTTCGCGCAAAAGCCTACCCTTTCCCACCCTCCCCGCTCCGATCGCTGCCTCCCTCCACCCCAGTTTCTGTTCTTTTCACCGTCCACCACCGCGATGGAGCCACATGACAACATGAAGATGTTCACCGTGCCACCAAAGCCGGAGACGGAGGACCCAAAGGTGGCGGCAAGGCCAACTCGATGACACACACTGAGCAATGGCGCAAACAGAAGATCAAGGAGGTAGCAGTTGCGGCGAACGATCAACCGTCACCTCGTCCGGCAAAGAAGGTGACCAGGCGGGAGGCGGTGCCCATGCAGTCACTGCTATGGCCGGAGGAGCTGCAGGGAACGTAATACTACGCGGCCACGCAGCTGGTGCACAGTAGAATTCTACACCTCCTTCATGGTTGTCACGCCGAGCGTGCCCTATATGATCGGCCTCTACGCGGGCTACCACTTCACCGAGTCACCACCGCCACAACTTGTCCGGTCACGGACGCAACATGTATCCAACGCTTGTCGGTGTCCTCTCTCTGTTTGGTGCACGCGGTTAGATGGCCGACTCCCCTGTACGTGTCCATGGACGCGTCCGTGAATGTTTGATGTGTCCGATTGGACAGTACGATGTGGGAATAGTAAACGGGGACGTCGATCAACGGCCCTGTTTGGATCCCTATGTTAGAGTTAGTTTTAGTTAGTTGGGGCTCAAACAACCCAAAAGTATCCAAACATGATGGGTTAGTTTGGGTTAGTTGGATCTAACCCACCCCAAAAAACTAGCCCACACTAGAGGAGCTTATTTGGGTTAGTTCTCTTGGACCCACTAGAAAAATAGTAAAAAAAGTTACCCCTCCCATTCAAACAAGGTCCAAAGTAGTCAAATGCTTGAGAAAGAATATTTTATTGTCAATCTAACCCTACCATCCAAACAGCTTTTTGGTTAGAATTAGTTTAGGGTTAATTTAGAGTTAGAATCTAACTCTAACCTCTAACTGAGTTAGAGTATCAACAGGGCCAACAGAATTTCCCGGGAGTTTCCCACCTAGCAACTTTCCAATAATGTCACTTTAGTCTGTAGCCAGTGGACAGCGAAAAGGACACTGGTGTCGCTCGTCTGGCCGGCACCGCACGCGCTTTTGCCGCGCCTTGGATTCGAAGCTGCATACATCAGTCATCACGACTTTATTGGCATTACTATATCATCATCGGTGCGCCGTGCGTTTGTTTACGCGACCGCGCTTGACTTGACGCCGGCCGGTCAACTCTGGAAATTTGCTCCACCCTCGCTCCTCTCTCTCACACTCGATTGGCTTAACAATTGGGTAGGTGTTTCCAAGTGTAGAAAGTTCCAACGCACACTTCTACGAGTCCTGCCAACCAACTGGGGTACACACGAATTTTCAAGATAAACATGCATACGCTTGTGTGTGCTCTATATTTTATTTTGTAGACCATTCTGAAGGCTACGTACCCACTGGATCCAGGCTGGTTGTATTTGGTTGGCAGTATTAAGTAGCACACACCCATACAGAAGCACCGTTACATAAATTGAAAATTACATCCAGAATTTTTGGGGCGTCAAAATGTTTTTCCTTATGCATCCACCAACGGCGCATTGTGAGCAAAGCTCATTGTCGTCTTTGGGCCTCCCTCTCAGTGAAGCAAACTTGTTCAAATTCAGAAGTGTTTAGAAACAACAGCTAGAAAGTCGTCGATATAGATTAGAAGACGCCGACGCCATGATTTGCTAACAAAATCGCTGCCGCAAGAAGATAATGTTGAAAATAGCATGTAGAAGGGCCAAAGTGACGGACAAGTGGAGACCTACCTAAGAGCATCTCTAAGCGATCCCTAAAAGGCTATAGGGGAGTAAAATTTTGATTTTACTTCTTTGATAGGCACCCAGCCGGACTCCTAAACCATATAAAGGAGTAAAAAATTACTACTTGGCTCTACAGACTGCTAAATTTACTCCTCCGCCGAGCGGTGAACCAAAAAAATCTTCCCATCCCTTTGTCCGCTCCCACCCTACCCATGCGCCACAACTACTCCGGCTCACCCATTGCCGCCTACGCCGACGACCACTCGTCGCCATTGACGCTCCGAAGGACCCGCCGCGGTCCACACCCACATGGATTTGGGCCTCTAGCCGTCGCCAGCGCCTAAATCGACAGATCTATGGTCCTCGCCACCGGCGCCGGATTCGACACGTATGGATGCTAGCACCGTCACGCTTGGGATGGATTTGACGGGTACCTACTCGTGCAACCCCCGCAAACGACTCTGCGCCACATCTTGGTATGAACTCCTCTCCTAGGCGCTCGGATCTCAGTCGTCGACCGGCCACCGGCACAGCTACGCATGGCGGCAGTCGTCCGGGCTCGGCACTAGCCCAGCAGCTCGTCGGCTACCCGTTGCCGGTCATGAAGTGTGACCACTGCCCGCGGCAGGGGCTGCGCCGAGTTTTGACCACGCCGCAACATCCCGGATGGGTGTTCTACAAGTGCAAAAAGGATGGGGTGAGTGCTTGTTTGTCCGGTTATTCATCGGATTCGTCGCAATTTGTAGCTTATTGTTTGATTAAAATTGTGTGTAGGATGGATGCAAATTTTGGTATTGGGAAAAAAAGTACATCAGTCTATGGATAGCAAGAAATTTGTGAGACCGTTCATGCACTCCTCGCTGGAGTTGAGACTAGAGATGAAAGTAGAGACGACGCAATGTCCAATTGCATGGAGCCGGAGAAGAATAAAGTGTGCAACCTCAAGAAGACGATAGAGAACCGCAACAGCGTGGGCAACGAAGACATAGTGAAAATATTAATCTAACTAGTGAGAGTAGTTATGGATGTTGGATTTTCTATTAAAATGTCTAATTATGGTTCGAATTTTCTTTGGATCAGTTCTCTTAGCGAAGAATTGATGAATTATGTACTCCGGTCTATCAAGATGTCGTTGAAGAAAATAAAAAAAGTAGTCAAGTTTATTTCAGTGGCCAAAAATGAAAGAATTTGACAAAAACAAAAATTTACTCCACTTAGGAGTTCGGCTAGGTCCGTCCGAAACTTAGTGATGTAGATTTACTCCACTATAGCTAACTCGGCAGTTTACTCCACTATGTTTTAGGGGATTGGCTAGAGATGCCCTAATGCCCCAATATGGGTAAACTAAACTCCCACCTGTTGATCATGTTAACTTTTTTCAGATCTTTCCCAAAATTTAAACTTGGTCACATTTGCATTTTGGATTTTCAAAAATTCAGGCCCATGGGAGCCTGAGCTCACACTTGCATTTTCGATGCATGAGCTGCGTTATTTTGTAGGAGTGTATGTGTTGTAATTGAATGATGGATACGTCAATAGATGGTACTTACGCCGATGGATGTGAGGGCCATAGGTTATCGTCCTTAAAAAACATTCCACGAATTTAAGCTTTACTTCTATCTTAAATCCTTGATACCTAGTGGATCGCATAGCTTAATTTAGACGATGGCGGGACACATATGGTGGTTTCGTTAATCTTGAATTTCTTTAACTCTATCTAATCACTAGTTTTTTCGCCAAAAAAAAAAACTCTCTAATCTCTAGCTAGTAGACGCCGTACCTGGTGTTTCTGAATGAGAATTAAAAGGAAACTTCTACGATGACGCGCCATGCTTCTTCATTGTACTCGGTGTTTCTCAAAACTGTTAAAAGTAAACTTTCATTGAGTAAACTTTCGCAATGACGCGCCATATGCTTCTTCATTGTACTCACTGTTTCTCAAAGAACAATTAAGGCGAAACTTCCACGACGACTCAACTGTGCTTAATTTCAGCCTGTACCACTCACATGAACAGCTATACTTTTTTTGAGACATGTAGACTAGCTAGTAGGAAACTAATCATCACCCACCAAAGTCTGAAAGTCATGCGCAAGGCCAGTACAAGAAGTGGGTTAAAACAACGGCCGGGAAGACCAAAAAAGTAGCCGTATCATACTCCTTGCGACTTGCCTCGAACTTCCACCACGTTTGGCGCTTGCGTGCATCCCGCTCCAAGTCTGATCCTGCCTGTCCCCCTATATATATATGCAGTCGATCGTCCATGGATATACATCAACAGCACTGCTTCAGTAATTTACACCGCCATCTCCAGGTGTTTGTCAATCTGCATAGTACTGTAACTCTGTAAGTGCCAGCCGCAACCGCAAGCATGTGCCAAGCCGCGAGAGCGTGCCACAACAATGGCCTGGTCGCGTCGGTGTCATCTCTCCTGATCTCGCTCGTCATCAAGCCCCTGGCCAAGAACGCCATCCTCACGGGCCGGAGCATCCTCGCCCTCCTCGCCGGCGACGGCGCCGGCAACGCCAGCAGCGCCGCGGCCGCTCCACGTGGGCAGCATTGCGAGCACTGCGCCGCGAGCGAAGACGACGCGCGCCTGTCCGGCTCCGACGCCGCCGCGGTCATTGCGAGCCTCGGCCTCGTCCCGCGCCGACGACGCTGTGGCAATGACGACGATGACGACGACGGGATGGCTGTGTGTGGCGGATGCGAGGCGATGGGGGTGGTGGAGGAGGTGGCGTGGGGGAGCAAGGAGGCCGGGGAGGCGGAGCTGCGGGAGGCGTTCGGGGTGTTCGACCGGGACGGGGACGGGCTGGTGAGCGCGGCGGAGCTGTGGGGCGTGCTGCGGAGGCTCGGGATGACCGAGGGCGCCAGGTACGAGGACTGCGCCAGGATGGTCGCAGCCGCGGCCGCCCGCCACGGCGGCGTGGACGGCGGGCTCGGGTTCCCCGAGTTCAAAGCCATGATGGAGCACGCGGTTTGAGCACGTACGAAATACGTATAATTGGGTAAACAGTGGCGCACCGCGAAGCTAGACTGTTCAAGTCGCGTGGCTCATGTCCATATTTTTCATTGTTTCGTTGGTGTGTAGCTTCGGCTTGTTCCTTTAATCCGTTTGAAATCGACTGTGATCGACTGTAGGAAACCAGTATGTTTGATCAGTGTCGTTGGTTGAATAATAAGATCGATGTGTACAAGCTTCAAGTTAATTAATTAATTAATTAGTGGAGCGGAAATGCACGGCTCAAATGTGTGCCTTGACCAAGTAACCCAAGGTCGTTCTACCTTCTGAGTGGGCAGTGACATGACATCCATGCTCATTTTGTTTGAGATACTGCTCCAGCACCGTGCATCGAGTGATCTTCCTTAGCAGAGAAGGTACACAACACACGTACGTTCCGATGCCTTGGCGTGCAATTCTCCTTCCCAGTTCCAGCAAGTACTGGCCATGCGAAGGGCCATGCGAACGGCCGGTCAGCCGCTTCGATGCGGCGTAGCTTGGAGTCCGCGCCCGCATTGAAGCGGCGGCTGCCGAGAGTTCGCATCGGTCAGTGCTACCCTCCCTCCCTCCAGTCACATTGCGGCATCAATACCGGCCTACACATGCTTTGGGTCGGCTTGAATGCAGTGCGGTAAACGACGCGTGCGTGCAGGAGGGGTGGGTGACGGGTTTTTGATGGGTCATAGCCGTCGCCTCCCCAGCGTCGCCTCCCCCTCGCCGCCGCCGGAGTGCGCCCGCCGGGCGAAGCCCGCGCGGCGTGGGCGGCGGCGGGGCATTCCCTCCTTTCTCTGGCCCTCGTGGCGGCGGCGCGGGCCGTCAGATTGGGGACAAGGGGCGCCTCGTCCGGCTGGTCTCCCGGAGGTGGGGACGGCTGGATCCGGCAGCGACTGGGCTAGGAGGAGGTGGCGCGGTGTGGCGGTGCTGGTGGCAGGGTTTCGGTCGAGGCCGTCTTCGATCTAGGTCGGGTTCTTCATCGGGGCGTCGCACGGCGGTGGGATCGGATCGGCGGCAACATCACCGGTTCGGCGGAGGGCTCCGTTCCAGTCAACCGCGAGATCGGGACGCCGTGGCCTCCGGTGAAAATCGCGTCTGACTGCGGTCATGGCGGACGATGGCGGCGTCTCGGACGTCGTTCCCTTCTCGAGGCATCGTCGTTGCAGGTCACGTCAACCTGATCGAAAGGCTCCGGGGGAAACCCTTGATCTGGATCTACCGGATCGGACGATGGCGACGTTTCGATGTCGTTCTCCCTCCTGAGGGCATCGTTTTGGAGCAAGTGTTGGCTGGAGGGGACAAGAGGAGGAGCGGCGTGGCATCTGGCACGTTGACAACGGCGGGTCTCAGCGGCATGGAGCAGCGGGGGTCTCGCCGGTGGGCGTGTGATGATGGACGAGTGCAGGATGGTGGCGCTGTCTGGCGTCGTGGTGGCGTCGATGGCAGTGAGGCCTGGCACGGTTCATGCAACAGTTCAGCTCTGAAGATGGATTGATGGTACGTGGCTGCGGCGGCCTCATACCCGGCAGGGGGCCTGGTTGACGAGCACGCCGGACTGGTGGGTGCCCATACCCGGAAGGAGTCCTGGTTGGGACCTCAGGTCTAAGATGTTAGGTTTGGCTGCGAGGTCTGTTTGGTATTAGGCCCAGACCATCAGCGCCCCTTCATCAGTTAGATAGGAGTAGCGACAGAGGTTGCGAAGATGGTGGCTTTGGTCTTACTGTTGTACGACTTTGTAAGGTCTTGTGCTAAAAATCAATAAAGTGGCCGTATGCATCGTCCAGATGCAGAGGCCGGGGTATTCTCCCTTTTCAAAAAAAAAAATAGCGGTCAGAAGCAGGCTTTGGAGCGGTTCGGACTCCGCAAACCTCCTTCATTTTTGTCTCCGGTTTGTGGAAGAAATCACGTCCGGATCGTCCCTCGGACCGATACAGGTCGGCAACGCGTTTTGAACGGTTACAGGAGGTTTGCAGGATGGCGTTGGAGATGCCGTTACGAGACAAGGTACACAAGTACGTTCCGATGCCTTGGCGTGCAATTCTCCCTTCCAGTTTCAGCAAGTACTGGCCAGAACAAAATGTTGACTGCAAATTACATTTTGCCAAGGCGAGGGATGTGGACGATGCGCGCCTGACCAAGACGGAAGCCCGCACGAAACATGGGCTGGGCAATAATCTTAGCTCTGAATCATGGCCAGCTGCTGGCTTGCCGGCGGGCAGGCAGCGGCCACCGACGTATCGTTCATTTGTTCTTTGCATGCATGCCTGCAAACGTGGTCGGTCATGTCGGCAGCCTGCGGTACATACATCAGCACCGAAATGTATCTGCCGACCACCGATGTTTACTAGGTTGTCGGTTGTCCTTATGTAGGAAGCCTCGTCAGGGGCATTGCTTAGTCCATAAGCTAATCTTTTTTCTGATTCTCTCGACAAAAACTATGAGGATGAGAAAAAGACAAGTGAGTTTGCCGCAACCATCGCCCAACCTGATGTCTATCTTCCGACAGCATCACACGTTGATATTTTCTGTCTTCAGAAATGGAGCTACACCTTATGCGTTCTTTCATCAATAAAACCCACCCTTTATAGAAAAAAATGCACTGTTTCACAAAATAAAAAAAATACCGAACCACCGCCGTTCACTTCTAGGGTGAAGACTAGCCAAATGCCCAAAAGTGAGCAAATATATCTTGAGATGCCGCGTCGAGGTGCGTCTGTTGGGAGCTTGAGGGTTAGGCTAATTTCCTTGCCACCTCACAACAAGCGTCGACGTCATTGTCTGATTTCCTCTGCCGGACATGTGCGTCTCTTAAAGCATCTACAGTCGGACTTGGCAAACCCGGCCCCTCAAACACCCGCAGACGCACCCGAGCGCGTCCGTGGGCACTCCTCAAAAAATGCAATCCACATCCAGACACCTCAATTACCATATCCAAATTCATACAAACTCATGCAACTACGTCGACGACACGCATCGCCCGGCTACTCCATCACACTACACTAAACATGTTATCAGACTATCAAAATTTGGCATGTTTGGCTATGATGGAGTTCATCCACAGCTGCCCTTGCCCTTTCCGGCGCCCTTGTCATCCTTCTCACGGAAGTACCGGTCGAAGACGTGGTACGGATCGAATCGGATCTGCTCGTCGCGGAGCTGTCCTCGCCGTCGTTTTCCTCCTTCTCTTCCTTCGGTGGCAGTCCTGCCATGGCACGGACTGCCTGATTCTGCTCACGGGCGAGGGCGCGCGTGTTCCTCCGCTGTCGTTTCTTCACAATGCGAGCGCGGATGGCTTCCTTCTTTGCGGCCACCTCCGCCGCCGCGATTTCCGCCGCGAGACGGGCCTCGGCGGCCCTTATCCTCTCCTTCCCACGGCGGGCCGCCCGTTCCCGGGGGGACTCGTACTCTGCCCGACCGGTGATGGGGAAGGAGAGGTGTTCCGGCCGGGACCGCAAGGATCCGGCACCAGAGGACCCGAGCGCCCGGTGAGCCGACGCTATGGCGTCGCGGCGGACGGAACCGTCCGTCGGCCGGGCATTGTCCTCCCGGGGGCAGCGGAGTGCAATGCAGACTGCCATTGCCTCCTCCAACCCACACGGGATGACACCCCAATTGACGGATCCGGACTGGTCGGAATCCGATCCGCTGCCTGCCATGGCGGAGAAGGTCGCAAACGGCCGGAGGTGAGCTCGGGTGGCGGAGGGAGTGGAGGGAAGGGGAGTGAAGTGGCTAGTATTTAGTCCAGCGAGAGGATAGGGACGAATATAAGTGGGGTCGGGGGGCCGGCATGGCCGAGTCCGATGTGGCAGGCGCGCCCGGGCACCCCCATATCCCCTCATATTTGGGCTGGATATGGGGAGTGCCGGTCAGCCCAGGCGTTTGAGGGCCGTTTGAGGGGTCCGTCTAGCTCCAACTTTCGTGACTGGATAGAGACCAGGCGGCCTGCCCGGGCGTTTGAGACAGGTTTGAGGGGTCCGATTGTAGATGCTCTTAGGATTATGTCATCCTCTTTGTGGGTCTTCTTTTCTTTTTGTAAAGGACTCAAATCTATTATAAAAGTTCATAAAAATTACAAAGCAACATCCAAATCATAAAAATGATACATCAAGGTCCCTGGATCACCGAACAACCACTGCCATCATCAAGAACCGAGCCACCAGGATTTCCTTCCCCACCACCGATAGCCGAAGTGACATGCATAGGGGAGGGGAATCCATGGACTCGCCGACAAACATGGAGGCTAGGAAGGCTTTAGCATAGTTGCTCTGCCAGAGGGGAAACAAAGACATGGAACTATAATTTGTTTCTTTTTTTAATTTCTTTGTGTGTCTTCTTTTTTGGATATATCATGCAAGCCACTCTTTAATTGTAATTATTTTGTGCCTATATCATGCAAGCCACTCCTGTAATTGTAAATTGGTATCTTCAATTTTTCATTGGCTCAGTCAACTGTTGTTGGGGAACGCGGTAATTTCAAAATTTTCCTACCATCACACAAGATCTATCTAGGTGATGCAGAGCAACGAGAGGGGAGACTGTTGTCTACGTACCCTCGTAGACCGAAAGCGGAAGCGTTATGACAACACGGTTGATGTAGTCGTACGTCTTCACGATCCGACCGATCCTAGCACCGAAGGTACGACACCTCCGCGATCTGCACACGTTCAGCTCGGTGACGTCCCACGAACTCTAGATCCAGCTGGGGTCAAAGGAGAGTTTTTAGCACGACGGCGTGATGACGGTGATGATGAAGTTATCAACACAGGGCGTCGCCTAAGCACTACAACGATATGACCGAGGTGGAGATCTGTGGAGTGGGGCACCACACACGGCTAAACAATCAACTTGTGTGTCTATGGGGTGCCCCCCTCCCCCGTATATAAAGGAGTGGAGGAGGGGAGGGACGGCCCTCTCTATGGCGCGCCCAAGGGGGGGGTCCTACTCCCAGTAGGAGTAGGTTTCACCCCTTCCCTAGTTGGAGTAGGAGA